AGAATATAACATATTAACATACACATCACACTCAGACCCGGAACAACAATGTATGGACCATATAGAGTTGACAAGATGCATGAAAGCCGGTTACCTAGCCACAGCATCAACTGTGCAGTCTACTAAAATCATAAATGAAAAGTTTTTGATAGGCGATTTCTTTCACTTATAGGTAACGAATCAATACGGGGTTCATATAAAGGGTTTTTATGTAATAGTAGTAGTGAGTCGTGTCACACGACACACAAGACCAATGAAGACCATAGTAAAGGTATAGAACGGTTACATATGCTTATAATTTTCTGCATTTTTTTCTTTTGTGAGAAACCTTTGTCCTTTCTAAAGATTTCCTTCCCTTCCTAAGCAACTTTTTAATACTAGGCAGTTATTCATTTAAGTTTGCGTTAGTTTTACTTACCATAATCTCGGAAAGATCAAGTGTGGTGACTAATTTAGGAGGTCCAGTCAGTTTTTCGCCATTGGGGTCTATCACTGAAATCTTCGGCTTTGCCCCCGACACAGACACCGTCACCTCTCCCAAAGTACTGTCTACTGGAATCTAGATATAATATTCTTAAGACATTAGAGTTTAGCCCCTATGATTAGGTTAAAAAATATGTTTACGCTATGATTAGGTTAAAAAATATGTTTATGAATCTCGGTCTGGCTCGAAACTAGTTAAAAGTTAAAAAAAAGTTTAAAGAATTAAAACGTTAATAATATTTTCAATTTGTTGTAACTGAATGTTTATTGATAATAATGGTACAGTCTAAAAAGAAATGAAATTAACTAACCTCTTGTGTATAATTATATCCCGGGGGGTTAGAGACTGAAGCTAAATTCACCATGCGACCTTTTATGGAACTCTTTACGAAATCAAGCATCTGAAAGATAAATACAGGTGTATTTACATTATATGTATAGGTACATTAACAGTACCTTCGTACAGAAGTGGTATATACATATTATGCAAAATGTCAAAATTCCCAAGTATTTCGGGAATCTAAACCAACGTAACACGTATATCACGTTACGCAGATTTTTAGGGGAACATCATCATTATTGCTCCTCTTAGTACCTCTACACTTTTTGCTGGGCTTTGGACTTTGTTAACATAGTCAGGACACGTCTCCAGTCTATGCTTGAAAAGCAATGGCTATTACGACACCCCATAGTGACAAAAGTTTTCAAGTCTTCTGTTACCACACAGCTTAATCGGTAATTAATACCGAGAGTCTAGGTTGTCTAGGTCAAGTAGAAGATATTACTAGACCTAGATTCATAGTCTAGGTCTGTTAATATTGAGATCCAGACAGTTACTCAGGACGCGCCCGAATTAGCTGTTTCGGTATTGAATGGTTGCATGATTGTATCTAATATTCTAGTGTGGGAGAGCCATGCTTCGGCACGAATGAGCCGGCTTGAACGGAGTGATACGACTGTCTCTTAGAAAACCGACGTGAAAAAAATCGTAGCGTTGTGTTCCGCCGTTTGCTTGAGGTTACTAGAGGCTCAGACTTTATGCTACCCCCATCCCTCCCTAATACTTGAATCTCCTCCGGTGTTGCGGGTGTCCATGGGTGGGGTCGATTGTTTACTATTAGGTTATCCGCCTGGTCTTTTGCGGCGTAGGTACCTATGCCATAAAAAACAAAAATGAATTTTTTTTAGAGTTACGAGTGCGTTGCCGGCCTTTTGAGGATAGGGGTTGCGGATATAAGGATCGGGAAAGGATAGGGGAAGGGACGGGATTGAGCCTCCGCTAACCTCACTCACACGGCGAAACACAACGCTATGTGGTTGTTTCAGGCCGGTAATCTGCAAGGCCGTGGTATCACTCCGGTTAAGCCAACCCAATTGTGCCGAAGCTTGACTCTCCCACACTTGACACAGCACGAGTATGTCGATCCTGGGTTACAGAAATACAAGCGCTTCCGCGAGGTTGTAGATAGCTTATCCGGAAAATAAGACCCATGTAATTATACTCACCATATGCACATTGGTCTTGTTCAAGTTGAATATTTGGCCAGAACTAGCGGCGGCGACTTGCTGATACACTTTGTACGAGGGTCGCTTCAAGTCGTTGCAGTGACCGGTTAGTATAAACACTACCTGAACAATACATATTAAAGTTGTAATTACCTATTATAAACTGACATTGTTTTTTTTAGACATTAAAACATTGCCCCACTAGGATTTTCTCCTGTGTCGTGGGTGCGTTTACAAACATACAATTTTACTTACACATCACACCCAGACCCGGAACAGCAATGTGTGGATCACACAAAGAGCTGCTCCGTGCGGGAATCGAACCCGCTACACGTTGCGCGGCACCAAGTTTCCCAGCCACCGAGCAGAACGAGTATCGGATATTTGCCGTAGTGTGCAGTAAATAAATATATTCTTTTGTTATTTTTTTTTAAACATAATTTAGTACACGTCAATTGGTTACATAGTTGCTATGGTTACGGCGCTATCCTAAGTGTCTCTGTAGGTTTCCTCGTCGCACTCTTACATCTTAAGTAGGTACCTACTATCTGTATCTGTTATTGTATTGGTTAAAATGTCTTCTCTGCCCTGCGTGGGGCAGGAATGAGTATCAGACTCTAACTGACTAAAAACCAGCCCGTTTCCTGTTCCATTCCGACGCCGCGGTACCTGCATTATTGTGCTTGCTTACAACTTAGTTGTAGGTACTTACTTGACTCTGTTTCCGTTGTATAGTATCCAGCACTTTGCCAACAATGCGATGGTCGGTGGCAGTCGCGTCAGTAAACACGTAAAGAAATGATCGTGGTCTGCTGACATTGAGCGCTAGATGTATTCCTGTCAGGGACTTTTCAGGACAGTCGCCTCCACCCTGAACGTGGACCATATTTAAAGCTCTCTGGAACACCCTTTTATTCTTTGTTACTGTCACTGGGCCAACCACTGCGGGCAGAGAACATTGTTGTATAGAACAACGGAACCTAAATGGAATAAGAGTTTATACTAGCTACTGCCCGCGATATCGGGAAAGTACCTCATATTTTATTCCAGGCATCTATCATCTATGTCTGATTTTACGTGAAAGAATAAAAACCATCCTTTCTTCTATCCACACATATCTTACTTATAAACTTTGGCGTTTATAATGTTAGTAGGATGATTCCGCTCCATGCTTAGAGTACTAAACTGTTTGCAATCAGATACCTATTTCTTAGTAGAAGGAACAAGGGCATGTGAGGTGTAGAGTTATATTGTGTTATTTATTCGTATCAATCCAATCATATTTTTGTAGAATAGAACGCTGCTGCCACAAATGCCTGGCTCAAGGTCTAACGATTACATTGTACATATAAAAACAAGTACGAAAGACTTACAGGGGTCATGGAACGGCACAAAGACGAAGTCAGCGATCACACCACTCTCCTCTAAAGCGGTGTTAAGGATCATTTCAGCTCCTTCCCGCAGCTGTCGCAAATCGTTGTACATTGAACCAGTTGTATCAAAAATAAATGCCAAACTACTCTTCCCGCCATCTTTATCTTCAGTCGATCGCCTATTAATCTTTTTACACTGAACGGAAACTATAAGCACACCAGTAATAAGGAGAAAACACTTCACCTTATCAAACATTTTTAATACTAACACATTATGGTGTATATTTAGCAAAAACTCTTTTATTCTAAGCGCTTCGTTTTATTCGACTTATCTGTAACCTCTGACCGAGTAATCAATGTGGGTTGGAGTAAGGAAATAGTTTACTTGAGTGTGTTTATGTTAAGCATAATATATACTTCACGACTGTATGATCTCCTTGAACACTTTAAAATTAATTTTTCAGATTTTGAGTTGTTCAGACGGATTTCATAAGCTACTTTTATAGTGTACATGTTGTACCTAAGCACATACAGTGCGCCTGTAACTCGTAAAAGTCTTTTATAAGTAATTTTTAACAAAATTGCAATTAAGTATTGCTACTTTATTGACTGCCTTACTAAAAAAAGTTGGCGATGGTGCATGCCGTCGTAGTGAGAAAGCACTTTGATAGAGAGCTTAAGAGATTGTATTGTTAGTTACAGATATTATGGTTTGATTTCCATAACATCTATCTACTAAGGACTATTCGATTTTAGCTTTAAGTTGAAGATTATAAACAAACAAAACCATACTTCGCTTTTACCTACTCCTTGCAAAAAGTCATGAAATTTTTTATCCCGCTTTAGAGAAAAAAATCAGAATCAACCACCCTATTTCAACTAACCTATTATTCAAATTTCTTTTTTTTTTTCGAAAAAGGAAACGACACAATCTTTTGTGTCCCTGCCCTAACCTAGCCCATTAAGATAGTTTTCTGTTGAACCAATTATAATTTTAAAAATTCATTTGAGCTTAGTACTTTCCCTGATTTCGGACTCGTTGGTTATACGGGAAACGCGCACCGCTTATAAGCTTTTAAGGAGGTAAAAAAATTAATTCGTTGAAGTCGTCTGAAATTAGTAAAGGAACATCATATTTTTTAAATATTTTAGGTACATAAAACGCAAGTGCACACTAACTTAAATTGGGAAATAACTCAATCTAATAATTAATCTTTTGGAATTACTTTATCATATCTAATGTGGAAACCACAAATTAAATACAAATTTAGGTCGAGCAGATTTTTAGGCATATCTAGGTAATTGCTAACTCTAATATTGTAAATTAGTTCTCAAAATAGGAATAAGTTTGAAACATACCTAATTAAACGTCACGCGTCGTAATCGCAATCGTCATTCGACTATATAATAGGATAGGACATTATTGTAAAATAATGAAATTAACTTGTATTGTATATGCAAAACTGTTGATGGTTTTAAAATATGAACTAGTGACGTAAAACGGGATGAATAAATACACAAAAGGGGTGACTAGTATCTTTTCACCCTTCTGCGTCTATTCACCCCGTATAGCTATTATTCTATTTATTTTTATTAGTAGTATTTGGTAACCAAAAAAGGTTAATAAGCAAACCAATATTAAAAATAAAATCTTTATTCAAAACTCACACTCGACATCTGTATAGAAGACATTCTGTTCTTAACTTAAATACGAAAACAACCTATTTACCTAATCACCTAGGTCTTAGAATATTGCTCAAATAATGCTTTTTACACAATCATACATAGTGCTTTGTGTGGAACATGTTGAAATAGAGATATTTCAGTGTCAAAATAATTTTATTCTGATTACCCAGATGATGTTCGCTTTCGATTGGTGTTCACACGAACTTTCTTTTGGACAACTTCATTTTGAGTTCGCGCATTTCTGCCCATTTTCGCAGGAAAAAGTTTTGTTTTCAAATATCTATTTCCACACAAAGCAGTAAAAAATATGGTCAGTTTACAATTCAAGCCTTTGAACAAGACATCAATATCCAGCACATTAAATTAAAATTGTTGTATATTTTGAAATGCATTACGTTCCCGTACTTAAGTTGTTGTTCTATGTCTACGTTGAAATAACATCTCTAAGACACTCTTTTTTTCTACATCTAAATATTTAATAATTAGTCTTCATGAAGGTTTTGCGATAGCTTTCAGAACCCAAAGTACTGTATGAATGGTAGAAATAAAACAACAAAAAAGATACAGCAACTGGACAATGTTAAAATAATATTAAAGACAAAGAGATCTTAAAATACTTGTCTGTCTTTACATTTTGAGCATCACTAAAATACATAATAAAATATTCTTACATTAAAATTACATTTACGTTAAAAAAAGAAATCTTATAATTTATTGCATTTAAAATCCGTAAAACATTAAATAAATTTACTAATGTAAAAGGTCCAGGTATTAAAAATCATTTTATGTTATAATGCCCGCTCCAAGCAAAGGCAACATAGCAAGTTTTCATTAATATGTAAGTAGGTATTAAATTATACTTGAAGTGAGATTTCTATTGCACATTTTGGGAAGCATGCACAAAATGCATATAAGAAACCGAAATTACACACCTTCTCTTGATGGTGATAAGTCTTAAATCTAAAACGACCTTTTCTCGGTGGATGCTTTGATTTCCTTAATAATGTCTGATGAAAAACAAAAACTGTCTAACAAAATAAATATGGGCCCGACTAAAAATATAAAGATGGGAGACAAGAGCCAACTGTTCTGGCAGTGGAAGGTGTGATCTGGCCTTAAATTAATGAGGTAAATCAAACAGGCAAGTGTCAGAGGTATTTCTTACAACATACTCGCCATTACTCTTAGGAAAAATACTATTAATGCATAATTAACAAGAGCTGATTTATTTAAGGAACAATAACAAGTGTATAAGGCATACATGTTATTTTTCGGCAACACATTAAATTATATATTGTACAGGACATTAAATACCATGAAAAGTAGGAATCTCGAAAACAATAAATAAACAAGTTTAGTATTAAAATATTTGTATATTTTTAGTCGGGCATAGCACAAAAGATGTTAGTATTATTACACGTTATGAATAACTTTGGCAAGCATATAAATTACATAAAAATGTTTACTATTTGTACTTGCATTCTGCAAATATCAGTCATGGATATAGTGGGTAGTGGGCAGACTGCTTTTACGATATTGTTTCGAAACACATTTATTTTTATGGAAGGTCGGTTTTCGAGAACATGAATCATGTGACAGTATGCGATTCAGATCGCACACTAGGGGTTTTCCTGTGCGTTTCCGACCTTTTGGGGATTGGGAATTAGGGATTGGGGATTGGGGGAGGGATACAATACCGTGTTCAAATTTCATATTTCTGCAATGTTTCTTATATGACTACATTACCCATACCTACTCATTACATAAATCAATATTTATCCTTTTCTTAAACAGATGGCAAAGTTGGTGTGTCATAACATATTTGTTTCAATATATATTATATGCTAAAATAATTTTACATGCCATAGATATGTACGTAAAGTAGTCATATCGAAAATGTGTTTGTATTAAATTTTTGTTAATGAATGTGGCGGTGGAATCTGTGTTAATATAACTATTAATGTACAATATACTATTATATAATTTGTATAAGTTTACAATTACGTATAAAATACAATATAAATTGTAAATTTTCTATTCCGAACACATTTTATGGGTAACATTCCCATATTAAAATAATAATTAAAATTTAATTTAATACCAAAATCCAATTATTTACTTATATCCGAATTATAATTCGAGTCAATAAAATTAGAATAAAAATCGTGAGTCGTCAAAAGTTCGAAAATGCTTTGCTATAGCATCGTTAGAGGAGGTTGTATACCAACTACTTACTGTTTATAAACATAGACTTGCTTGCGTAGCTGTAGATACTTCTTTACACTGTACCCGGAAATTAAAATAATTGTTTTCATCGACACAAAACGTCCAAAAAGCCTTGTTGCAACACGTAAATGCTGCAATGGCCCAATGTCCAAGTTATCAAAAATCTGACACCTGGGTTTTGGCACTCTATACTATGTCTGTTAAAACTTAACATGATTTCTTTACTATCATTGAAACAGTCTATGCATATAACCGGCCTCGCACTGTTATGATCCTTATTCGTTTACCAGTAAGACTCATAACTGTGTGCAGTCTTTGTGTAATACGTTGTTATAGAATTGGGTTTACTAACATGAACGCGGGGTGTTATCCGTAGGGAGTTAGACGACGTCATCTGCAGCTACTTTGGGTGGAGTGTTCGCTTTTTGGTATATCAATACGTTTTCGCCGACTTCGCCTTCGGGGAACTGGGAAAAATACAAGGACTATTTTAAGTTTCTTGGTCACTGTAGTCATCATAACCAAAACAGAAATATAAATACTTTTCATATTATTAAAATACGTATTGAATATGATATTGACCTGTGTATGCGGGATCTGGTGCAACAAGTTGTACCCGGCGAGTATACTCTCGACGCGTCCCTTGAGGCGGTCGAAGAGTACGAGCAGGTCGGGCGCCTGGCGCAGTGTGGTCTCCTGGCGCCACCAGCGCAGCGGGTTGTTGAAGAATGCCTCTGCCTCGTACGTCGTGCCCGTCCGGTTCAGCGGGGGGTCACAACTCAGGTACCGGGTCGTTATGTTCAGGTGCAGGTGACTGATATAACCATTTTTAGTAATTACCTCTTTTAATTTATAACTGACTGACAGAGAATACACAGCCAAAGCTACTGAACTCAGGAAGCTAAGTATACACAATAATTATGTACCTGTAGAGAGGCGTAGAATGGCATGGCATGAGGAAGGTGATAGAACTCCTGTTGTTGGCGGCCTCTCGGAGGAGGGGCATGGCCTGCAGGGTCCCGGCCTGGTGCACCACGCCGAAGTACGCCGCCGGCACTGCGTTACCCACCAGGATTGATCCAGCCAACAAGTACAGGTGCAATCTGGTAGAACAAATAATCTTTATCCCGAGAAAAACACATTGCTTTACCTTAATAAAATCATGTCATTAGTAAGAAGACTGGAAAGATATAATGATTATATTATAATGAAAACCATATCTAGGCAAACAGTTATTCACTGTTTGGGTAATAGTTTATAGAGCTGAAATTTGGAGCTAAATGTTGCTATCACTCATAAATCATTATCATTCATAAATTTATTTAAATAATAATAAAGGGACTTACTTTGTAGCCTTCCTGCTCCAGGGTACAATCACATCTTGAGCCAAATACAGGAATATTGGCAGCAGCGGCAACACAAATCTAAACTCCTTGTGTGGAATGAAGCTATAAAAATATAATACAAGGATAATATAGAAATATTTTTAATTAGTACTTTTTCTCAAGGCCTTTAAATAAAGTGGACCTGAACCTTATATTGAAGAACTGTATTAATTTGTAAAATATGCAATATTATACTGAACATTCATAGTATCATTAGCTGACAGAGAAATTAGCCCTGAAACGACAATGTGATTCCAAACTTTCTTTTGATGCAAACAAGTAACATACCTGTATACAGCTACATATAAAGCGACGGCGGCTAGAAGCAAGCTTCCGATTTTGTTCTCCTTTGGTCGTCGCAATATTCTTACAGTTGCCCATAGAACAGGAACCAGATTGATACCCAAAACAGCTGGAATACCTTGGGTCAGATACCAGTGCCTGAAATTTGTTTTATAGAAATCAGTTTTTTGCATTCCTTAATAAGCTACTAATATATTATAACATTCTAGCTACTCTCGCACTGCACGACTCCTACAGATCGTGGCGTGATGTTTTATAGCCTAAAGCCATCCTCGAGAAATGGACTAACAACCTTTACCTCTCAAAATTGATGCCAATGTAGTTGAAAACATTCATAACATAAACATTTTGTAAAATCCATGAAATTATCATGTCATAAACTTATGGTAGTACAAATTGATAGTAGTTAAAAATAAAACATTTATATTTTTAATCTTCTTGTTGCCAGATGTCACTAGTTACTTGTTATTGCATGTCAATGACCTCAAGTGATCACTAGTTTTTTTGTCACATGTTGGAATTGTTGTATGGATATTGGATAGTTAACGTTACATGAACATTCTTTCACATGACAACCATAAAGCATGATCCAGTCCATAAAATTAAATATACTGAAACAGTAGTTGTTACGCCAAAAAAGTTACGATTTTTAGGTCAAGCATTTTTAACGCCTGCGCCTATCTATCATATGTACATCTTACCATGGATGTTGTCCGTAGAAGGACGCGATGTCGTGTAGTACATTGAATCTGAAGAACTCCCACGGGGTGACGATAAGGCGGCCGTAGTAGTACGAGTCCAATGCTACGAGGGCACCACCACAGATCAAACTAAAAAAACAATTTCATTAGACAATTCTTAAAAAAATATATACATAAATAAAGAAGTGAATAGTAAGATCTGTATCTGCCTTTAAATGACTTACGCAATAGGCACATAGGTGCGTACAAGAAGCTTCAGTCGGTTCTGGTTGGTGGTTAGCAAGTTATAAGCCCCGAGTACAGCCCACAGGGGTGCAGATGTCGGCCGCAAGAAAACGCACAGCACTGCCAGCCATATCCACTTTGGACTCTCTGTGTAAAATAAAATAAATATTAATGGACATGGTAAGTAACATCACTTTAAAACAGAGATTTAACGTAAACATTCATAAGACTAAAAGTAAAACCTTTTCATACTGATTGCAAAAAGGAAACAGAGTATGAAGGCACTGATAAAATATCATATATTCATGTTGAAACAAGGAACATGTTGATTTTATATTGTTGTTATTTTGTTAACAATGTTAAACAAGAACTGAGAGAGAGACTATATACTGACAAAAACTCTCAACTAAAATGTAACTTATAGTTGATGAAACTGCAAATAAACAATGTAAGTATCAAGACATTAATCCTAAAAATAAACAATCTGTGATTATTATTCAATGGGTATTAATTTACCTTGTTCATAGTGTCCCAATTTTCCACCTTTGAATGGGAACTCAGACAAAGCAATAGCAACAAGAGAAGTCTCCAAAGTCTGCAGTAATGTTCTACCTGAAGTGTAGAACCAGAACCATGCTGTCAGTATCAGGAACAAGGCCCATTTTCGGTTGCCGGTCCATTTGTAGAAACTATAATCAGCTGCAGCACTGATAACGGCTTGCAGGATGCGAGGCAGGAGAATCTATAAAAAAATATAATTATTACATCACACCTGTATACCAACCAAAGCTGAACATCAGTCTCATTAAATAAATTTAATACACATAGGATCTTTGATCTGAAATTCAATGGTTGTTTTTTTTTGAGGCCATTCAACCAATAAAGCAGTTCCTAGGCGGTTCTTACTTGAAATGTAGAAACTAGACATAAATAATGACACAAGTCTCAATATTGCCATGAAACTGGGTGCATATTGTATTACAAATATGATACAATAGCTTACTCATGTTACAGAGGGATAAAATGTGTATAAGCTATTTTAACAGAACTGCCTTGGCTTCATAAAATAGCAGGAGAGAAGTGGATATAGGTTTAAAAAATATTTGTTTTAATAGGGAATATGCATAAAATTTGAAATGGCCTAAAATATTTTTTTCTCGAATACTTATTATCGTAATATTATAATGAAAAGGATTTTTTTTTATTTACTTATTATTTAAACCCCTAAAAAAATATTCAAAAAGTGCAAAATAAGGGAGCGAAATTCAAACTTCCAAAACGCGCCACCATTGGTCGAACGAAATGTGACGTCATCTGACACGACATTGTATTCATCAGCGTCGAAACTCATACTGTTTTACAAGTTTTTGTGAAAAAAATAAATAATTTAAACCTGTATTCTTGTGCTGATTGTAGTGAAGTTTAGTTAAGATTTGTAGTGAATCTAGGACGATGACTGAAGCTGGTTTTGTCAAAGCACAATCGGACAATCTACCGAAAATAGATGCTTTCATGATGACAGCATATTTTGCATCAAATCCCGATTTTACGAGCGCAGAGATCAGAGGAGTGAAAGCTGCAAGGTAATTATTATGTTTCATAATACATTTTAGACCATAATATAGATTTTTATTCATAAATGCACACAGCAGTTTACATATATTAGGTTCACCAAAACATAACCTATACATATCCAGTTGTCATTAAAATTACTCTGAAACTCTTATTTTACGTCTATAAATAAATTTTTTATTATTGAAGTTCACCCTAGTATAATAACTTTGACTTTGTGTGTATCTGAGATAAATATATAATGATTTAATGTTTATAAATTGATACCCTGCTTTACGTGGACTGTTTTGTTTGAGTGTTTATAAGTACTTGTCTATTTCAGGTCTACACGAGAATCTTATGGTGATTCAGCAGTTGGATATGTCCAAGTAAAACGAGATGGCGACATATGTGTTGTTAAGGCTCGGATTACACCTGAACATAATGTGCGACAAAAATGTTATGCTGTTATTTGCACTTGCAATGAAACAGAAGAAACTATTCTCTCTGTTCAATGTGAAGATTGTGCTGCACATTTAGGTAATTATTTTTTACTTGTTTAGGTTCAGTGACCTGCACTTAGGAACTTGATTTTTTCTATAACTTTTTTGTTTTCTCATTTCTTTTGTTTTAGGTGGATGTAAGCATGCTATAGCTTTTTTAGCATGGCTACATCGGCGTAGTGAAGATCCATCAACAACAAGCATTGAGTGTTATTGGAAAAAATCTAAATTATCATCAATTGGTACTAGTAAGAAGTTTATAAAAGCCAAAGAAATGTATAAAACACCTAAACATGAGCTTGTGCCAACATCTTTGAATACTGAAAGCTTTCTCACAGTAGTAAAAAATAATTGCACTTTGGTTGGTGATACAAAGAATCATTTGATGAAGTTTTATAGAGCGCCAAGCACTGTGGAAAAATTGTCAATACACCATCTTCTGTCTACAAGCAAAGCTACAAACCCTCTTGATTTTATAGAATATTGCAAACTTATAATGACTGCAGATGCATGCAAAGGAGCTGCAATAGCTACTTTGGAACAAAATGACTGCCCATTGTGGCATGAGTTGAGGTATGGAAGGATCACAGCTTCAAAAGCTTATGATGCTGCACATTGCAATACTCTTGATGGAACGTTAACGGAGACCATTTTGGGAGCAAGTAAATTGAGGGACACAGAGGCTATGGAAAGGGGTAGATTGTTGGAAAGTCAGGTTTTAAAGGAAGTAGAAAAAATTTGTAAAATAAAAATAAGTAAATGTGGATTAAAGTTAAATAGTACACATCCTATTATGGGTGCTTCTCCAGATGGTGAAAATAGTGTGTATAGTATAGAAATAAAATGCCCAACATCAGAAAAAGCAATGGGACGATATGTCAGTTCAGGAAATAAAGTGACTGCCAAATATATGGCACAAGTGCAACTGCAGATGCATTTTTCTAATAAAGCAAAGGCACTGTTTTGTGTTGCTGATAAAGATTTTGAAAAAACAAAAAAAATATCAATCTTAGAAGTCAACTACGACCAGCAACTGTGTGAAAATTTGTTAGAAAAATGCGACATTTTTTGGAATAAAGCCATCTTTCCTAAACTAAATATGTATGACTAGATAGATTTTTTTTGTTTATTGTAGGGGTACTGCATTTGATTTCTGTCTAATTCTGTTAATCTGTTTTTTTATGCTATGAAAATAAAACAAATGTAAATATATTATATTCATTTTTTTATTAAAACATCCTGCATATTTACCAATCCACAAGCTACTATTATTACATCATCTATGATAGGAATTAAATTATAGTCTACACAAGCATGAGGCAGTAACATATGAAACTCTCTTAACCTATTTATTACCCGTTCAACATGTATTCTTAATGCTGCTATACGTTTTGATAGTTTCACTTCATTTTTAGTACTGGGGGTAGACTTTGATACAGAAGGTGGTCGTATAAGGGTACATCTTTTAGCTTCTAGCAAACATGATAAGTCTTTAAAACCTCTGTCAGCCATCACTGCTTTATTAGGAGGTAAAGCCTGTAAGTAACTACTATCTTGTACTATCATAACATCAGTAGCCCTACCACCATATCCATCAGAGATAAAATTGATCAAGCCATCAGGTGTACATGAAATTAAATACTTTAAGGTGTTACATTTTTTATACTGTGACCAAGTAAGTGATTGATGAACGGCATTTGATGGTTTTTCAATCTGAATTTCTAGGCAATCAATAATGGAAACAACATTCCCATACCTACGCCTAAAAGATATGGGTAAATTATTGTAAATATCTGATGATGCTGGCCACACAATCAAGTCCTTAAGTTTTGCTGCTATAAGAGAAATACTTCTAGAAAATATTCTACAAATAGTACTTTGTGAACATCCAAATTGTAGTGCCAAGATGCTAAAGGACTCATTTAATTTAATTTTCTTGAGGGTTATTAATATGTGTTTACTAGGAAGCGGAATATTATCACTTAAAAGTTTTATTAAATGATATGATTGTTTAGGTAATCCTAACAACATTTTTGGCTCTTTTTCAATAGCAGTTAGCATGATACTACACATTTCATATTTAAACTGTTTCTCCTTCTCTGAATCACTTAGAACTTCGCTCGACTCAGATTGATAACTTGGTTCATAATCAGTAGAGCTCGTAGAAAAATAAGATGATATAGAAATAGTATCCGCTGTGTTTTCAGTAAACAATTTTCTTTTTAAAACAGATAGTTTTACTGGTGAAGTTCCTATATTTTGTGTTACAAAAGGAAATGGTGACAGTGCTACATTTTGTTTTTTAGTAGGTATATTTACATTGACACCTTTACTTCTATAGTTCGGTTTAATATTAACTTGCACAGCTTTGTCACAATGCAATGTCTTCTCAATATGAGAAGTGGAAAGCTCTACCTGAAGATCATCACATCCAATACGGGAAGTACTGCATCCTGGTTGATCACAGACATTTGTGTGGGAAGTACTTGGACTCACTTCGTGATCACTTCTTTGTGAAGGTTCGCTAACACTACTTTTGATAGCTATCTCTGATGAAAGGGCTTCATTGACCAGTGTCAATCTTTGCATTTTAACTACAGCCATTCTCTCCTTTGGTAATGGCATCCTCCGTTTTTGACACAAAAATATATGTGGCAAAACTCCTTTCTTCAACCGTAGAGTACATTTTTCTCCTTGCTCTTTCATTAAATTGTATTCAATATAATTTTCTGTATCTTCCTTAACCTGGAATAAAACAATAACCATTAAAATTTCGTAAAAGCACAACAAGAATAGTTTTTATAGAAAGTTAGTTTTTATAACTGAGTACTGAACTTTTCTTATAGGTTAGGTTAATTTTAAACTTCTAATGTTCAATAACTAATGCAAAACTTACTTTTTACTAATTCACAATAAGCTATATATTATATAGTATATAAATAAAGTACACTTACGTTAAAATGATCTTCACAACAATATAAACACGATTTAGGAGATATATTATCCCTTCTCATCACCTTACACCACTGTTTTCGTATTTTCGCATCACTTGAAATACGAAAAAACACTTTGTCGGGTGTTTTTCGAGTAGTATTTGTGCACTTCGGTACTATACAATACTTATAAGATAATTTTTTGACTTCTTCCATGGTTTTAAAGTTATTAAAACTGTAAATATTACGAAGTAACTGAAAAGTCCATAGTAAAAACTAAGGTAAACACCCACTGGACGTGTCATGTGACGTCACGCAAAGCGCGCGCAAAATGGCGGCGTTTGAACTGCTTAAATTTTTTAAAAGTTTTAAATTTCATTTTTAAAAATATCTAGAGTATTTTGAAACCCATTAATATTTTTTTCTACGTTATAAAATAGTAAACTATTAATTTAAGACAAAAAAGAAAAACATGAATATTCCCTATTAGAGTTTATCCATACCTAGTAGTTTACATTTTAATAGTTAAGCAAGACTACTTAGAAAAGAAATAATTTAGTTTTTTATTCCAGTCACATATTTTTTGCTATACTTAATCACTGTACTTTTTTATTAATGTTCAATTAAATGAATAATATCTATTCTATTTGATATCTTTTGCTTGGTCATGGTGACAATTTTCAGCTAGCCTGTAGGTTTATATAAATATTTGTGAAATGATGCTTACCAGAGCCTCAGGATAGTCCAGTCCAGTATATTTTAGAACGGTGTAAAGTCCAGCTACTACACTTGGGTATAGGTAGCTTCTGATGCCTTGCTGCCATTCCCAAGTCAAGGCTCCATAGCCAAACACTTGTTTGTGTGCCACTTCCAAAGTTTGCCAGTACTCGTCAGGCACATACCACGTTTGAACCAGGAATACAGACAGAATTCTCACAAATATTATTACAGAGACCACCTGTAGTGGCCTCAGGCCCTTTGCCAACACCATTCTCCCGCCTAAATCGAAAGAGGTTACATGTGAATCGGCTATAAATAGAAAAGTATCAAGTAGTCTTAACTTCGAAACCATAAAATGTTAAGTAACTTTTACCAGATTATATAAAACTAATACAAAAACATAGTGCCTATTGGTATTCTTGTTATTGATAACTTTATCAGGCGAAACAAACTTAGCACAGAAAAATGTCAACTAACGCGTCCTATAATTTAGCGTCAAATTGAATGAACAGAAGTGGTTTAACATAACACAAAGATGTATTAGTTTGCCATGATTCTATTTAAAGCTTGTTTGTTGATTGTTTTAGCTAAAAACATACTTTAAAACATTTTTTTTCGTAATTATTTCACTAACCTCAACAAAACCCGCCGCCACCGCGAAGTAGTGCTGTGCTGTGTAACTGTAATGTAATGTAAACTATTGTTACTAAAACAAACTTATAACTTATTTATCTTTATCAATTGTTTTGTTCACATTTTAAGTTATTTTTTATAATCTAATGATCTAGTTTCATATAATATTTGTATGATTAAAAAAAAGGCGAGTCTTGAAAACCGTCCGAGTAGCTATCCCAAGCTACATTCAAGTCTTTTAGATATAAAAACAGTGAAAGTGAGTGGTTTTCTGGATATAAGATCAGTATAGCGAAGCATTTTTCGAAAGATACAACTGAAGCAAATACATAATATCAAATCATCTCACATAATTATTCGACTAATAAAGAGTATATTAACACAACATTCTATCGACTAATGCATAACTTTAGTGAACAGCGACATCATTAAAACGTCAACTCGTTCGTTTGGGTTGCGTTCAAAAACTTTTACCGTTATACAAAAAACATGAGACTACAGGCGTAAATTAATGTTTATTTTAAATAAATTTTATCCTGCTGGACACAAATAACACAATAACTAAGTGAATAAGATTTTATAAAATGTTAAATAGTAATAATTTTAATAAATGGAATCAGTATGTTGAAGCCTCAGTACCCATTGGGAATCAGTTAAACTATAAAATTGAAATAATACGGTATTTGAACGCCAATTTATGAATGTTGATTTTGTTGGGAATTTGCTTTGCTTGAGTCTTTTTAATAATATTTAAATTATGATGTCCTATTAATTTAAAAATGGGTAAGTATAGTAAATTAAGATGTGAAAATTGTTCTAGCCCAGTTGTTGATTCTAATTGTTTGTTTGTAGAAGAAGTAAAAAATGAAACCGTCGACCTTTCGAGGCGTGGGTTGAAGAAAATAGAGAAAGCGCCCGCAGAGGAATCCAAGACGATTATTAATTTAATTCTCGACCAAAATGAATTGCAGAGACTAGATAATATCGACACATATAATCGTGTCGAAAACGTAAGATACCTAACTTAATAATGTCCACTACCAAAATATTTCAATTCGGTATACAATTTTATGTACACATTATTATTTTACAATTTTGCATTTTAAATAATAACATTCAGTGTTTCCATAATTAGTGAATAGATCATTTTAATAATGCATGATAATTTTTATACATTTCTTAGAGTTCAGAGATAATTCTACTGTTTTTGTTTTGTAGTTATCAATTTGCAACAATTTCCTGTTACGCATGCATGGCGTGTCCCGGTTGACGAACATTCGAATCCTAGCTTTGAATAACAACGGTATACTGCAGATAGAGGGTCTCAAAGACCTGATTTATTTAAAAGTACTGAAGCTAGCGGGTGAGTTCTTACATCCTATAAGTATGATCCTTCTCAATGTTTCAACATACATAGACATATTTTATAGCTGTTTTCTTTTGAATGCTGTTACATTTAAAATACATTTAGTGACCAATAGATATTCAGACATATTATTGAATTGCTACACAATGTCATTTAATTTTCAATTAGTATATATAAATACCATATTTTTTTTTTTTTTTTTTTTTTTCTCCTTAATGGCAACTGAGTCTCCAATGTTGTCGACTATTCTGCCAGTGTCGAGTTGTGACGGGTGACGGCAGTTTTAAGACCCGTCGAACATTGACTTTGCGGTAGTTTATTGTTAGTAGCTAGAAAGACAACACACTTGGGTTAGTAAACATTTAACATAGATAAATATACAATTAATTTATACGAATTTTAATTAAACATAGACAGTCATAGGGAGAGGGTATACAATAGACAAGGAGATAGGTATATACATTATAATTTATATCACACACCATCATATTTTGATATTATTTTGGGAGACAAATTGGGAAAGGTATTTTATCAACTTATTTGAAAAAAAGGTTAGTAGGGAGTGGAAATTAATTGGGAGAGGGATTTGGAGGCTGGGAAGCTTTTGATACAGGTCGAAGGACTGAGAATTTAGGGAACAGGAAAAGAATATGTGATCTAAGGTCCCCTCATCAAGACCGCATTCGCACAGCGAGCTGTCACGAACACGGATCTTGTTGAGGAATACCGGACTACAACAGTGTCCGAGTCTAAGTCTGCATAAGGACGCAACAGTTTGTCGGGAAAACCTAGGGTATCTGCAAAACCAAGGCTTCCGCCGGATGCCGGACTGGATATTTGCGTAATAGGTACCCTTCCGTTTGGAGGACTCTGCCCACACTGCATCCCACTCGCTGAACAACTTGTGTTTGGTGTCAGAACGTAAGTCATATCCATACACAATGTAGTGACGTCGCTCGACATCGTTTGTAGCTGCAAACTTTGCCAATGTATCCGCGCACTCGTTACCGCATATACCAGCGTGGCCAGGAACCCAGGCGATCTCAACGTTTAATCCATCTATGTGGCAAGAAAAAAGCAAAGATTTTATTTCTATAACTAAACTATTATTTGTTCGAGAATGGAGTTGGTCTTGGCTCAGAGACTGTAAGCTGCTTCGAGAATCTGAGAAAATTACAGAATTGTTAAGGTTGTGAGCTTTAATAAATTGTATCGCTTCTAAGATGCCAACACATTCCCCAGTGAACACAGAGGCCTGGGGAGGACATTTAGAGAGCAGCGCGATTCTTGAATTTTGGTAATACGCCGCCACTCCCGTGCATCCGTTTCGGGACAATTTGGAAGCATCCGTAAAGAATACATTCCAGCCCCTCCAATATTTGTCCAACGCATGTTTAAATTCCACCTTTGCGTTCACCGAGGACTTTGAGATGTCAAGATCCAAGACAAGCTTTGGCCTGAAGTGAATCACTTCATATGCAGAAGAGAAGACAGGGAGTACAGGGAATTGACTGATAGGTGCAGGGAGGTTTTTAAGCTCCCTATACCGAACAATCACAGGAGGGGTGGGTTTATGATTCCAGTATGAAGAGGAACTGTAGGAACTGTTAATTTGTTCTAAAATAGGGAGTAGGGGGTGAGCGGAAAAGGAAAGGACTTTTGAGACGAAACGGTCTGCCAGGTATTGTCTACGTAGGTCGAGGGGGGGTTCCACACACTCGACCTGAAGAGCGTTTATGGGGGAGGACTTCATAGCTCCAATAATTATTCTAAGGCATTTGGCCTGAATGGAATCTAGTTTTTTCAGTGCTTCCTTATTGCAGGGGGCAATAAGGTAGCAGCAATAGTCCATTACACTTCTGACCAATGCATTGTATATTAGCTTCAATGTGTACGGGTGAGCACCCCACCACACCCCAGTCAGAGCTCTAAGTATAGAAACCGAGCGTTCGCATTTTCCAACCACAGCGTTCACGTGATCCATGCCAGACATTCTCGAGTCGAGGATAACTCCCAAAAATCTAGCGCAACTCTTGATTGGAATAGCTTGATCATCAATTTCTATACGAATATCCGGTGTGTGACGCCTGCGTGTAAAAATGACAGCTGCGCTTTTTGGGGCGCTTAAAGACAACCCACGATCCAGTAGCCATTGGTTTAATGAGGCCAAAGAGACATTCATGGAAAGGGCGGCGTCCGTTATAGAACTGCCGGTGATCATTAGGGCGATATCGTCGGCGTATTGGAGGGCATTACAATCATAATTTAGACAGGAGGGGAGATCATGGGTGTAAATATTATAGAGGATGGGACTAAGGACTGAACCCTGAGGTAAACCTCTCCAGGCGATTCTCCGGACAGGTTCATCTTCAGGAGTTCTTAATTGGAGGGGGCGGTTGGAGAGGATGCAGCCTATAATTCGGCAAATCCTACTCGGGATTCTCAGCTCTTGCAGTTTCTGCCTGAGAAGGGGTAAGAGTACAGAATCATAAGCTGAAGAAATGTCTAGGAAGACCGCGACCAACGACTCCCCCCGGCTAAAGGCTAGTCGGATGGCTGAAGTGAGGGTACCCACACTATCAGCCGTACCCAGACCCTTCCTGAAGCCGAATTGAGCCGCCGGAAGCAGCCTCCTGCTTTCTACCAGCCATTCAAGGCGGTTTTTAACAAGGTGCTCAAGGACTTTTATAAGGATAGATGATAGGGCAATAGGTCTGTAGGATAAATGATCACCGGAGTCTTTGCCAGGTTTTAACAGAGGCATGACAACCTGAACCTTCCAAGCAGGAGGAATATAACCGGAAGAAAAACAAAAATTTGCCAAGTCAAGGTAGTATTGTCTAGTTTTAATTCCTGCTTTACTTAAAAATGAGTAAGGGAACCCATCGACCCCAGGTGCTGAGTCCTTCACGTGACTAAGAACCGATTGGAGTTCCTCAATTGAGAACTCCATATCAAGTGGGTCCTGTGTTTCCTCATAGGGACTCGGGCAGCATTCTTCTTTTTCAGGAACATATGATGGAGCAATGTTATTAAAAAATTTATTTTTTAAAAACTCAGGTAAGGTAGTAATTGTTGGAGGTTTAGTGGAGTTCCTGAAGTTCTTCACTCTCTGCCACACCATGGATCTTGGTGTGGATGGGCACAGTGAGCTACAGAACTTTTTCCACCCCTCCCTCTTCTTCCTTTTGAACAATTTCCTTGACTTAGCCAATATCTGTTTGAAGTTGAGGAGGTTCTCCAGGTTCATTTCATGGTTGTATATCTTTTCAGCTTCATTCCTGGCCCTGATCATAGCAGTGCACTCACTATCCCACCATGGAGGGGAAGGGATTTTTCTTTTTGGTGGGTTCTTCACCGGGAAGCAGTCTTCTGCTGTGGAGGTTATCAGGTCTGAAAACTTTTGGAAACACTCCAAAGCATTCTCAGCACTAACTGATGGAAGGAAAGAAATGCGGTGGTCCACTAACCTTGAATAAAGGTTCCAGTCCGCGGAGTCCAAGCGATATTTTAAAAGGGGAGGGAGGGGATTATCAGGAATGGATTTCGCTGGGTTTTTGATTATGATGGGATAGTGATCGCTACCATAGGTCATATCCAAACGACACCAATTCAGCAAGCTAGCCATCCCAGACGAACAGAAGGTCAAGTCCACACAACTGCTTCTTTGACCAAGTGTAGGCCTGCGGGTAGGGCTACCATCATTAATGACACACAAGTTGAGTTCATCCAGCATTTCCACTAATTCTGTACCTATGTTGTCACATGTTTCTGAACCCCATCTGTAGTGATGACAGTTGAAGTCGCCCATTACTAGAAGCGGGCCACCCACAGAAGTTAATAAATTTTTTATTAAAATAATATGTTCAATATGTTGATGGGCAATATAAAACATAAAAATATTTATATCCTCAGCCTTAATAGCGACAACATTTATGTCATCGCCAACAAAGGGTAGAGGGATCTGGGTGAAGGGTACTTTGTTATTAACTAACAAAGCACAACCTCCATAACCATCAGATCTGTCATGTCTGGCTACGCTGAAACATGGTATCCCGAAATTAATGTTCGGTTGTAACCATGTCTCAGCAATGCCACAAATTGTTGGATTAAATTTGTTTATTAAATGGAGTAAGTCACTCTTCCTGGGAAGAGTACTCCTCACATTCCACTGAAGAATGGTTAGGGGTAGGAATTTTATAAATATAATCTAAGATTGTGGCTATTCTATGTGCAACGTGGTCCGGTAAAACTTGGGCAGGGTTTGATAACGCTGCTATCAACATGTTAGAAATTACATTTAGTATATTGTTAGAGCTATGAGTGTTGGTTCCGGATTCCATAGGGAAGGCGCAACCGTTTTTGGATGGGGTAAAGGAGTAGTTATGAGTAAGGGCCTGATGGGCCTTCTTGTCATAACTCGGTGAGAGAGGAGCATGGGATTTTGGTTTAAGGAGCACTGTTTTTTTATAAGATGCTCTTGGTTGGGAAGATGATTTTATACCAGGTGATGATACAGATTGGTTAATTGGTTTAGAAACCTCGGCATAGGACCTTTTGACAGCAGGGAACACTTGACTTGCTTCTGCATATGATATTGATTTCTCCGCCATCAAAGACTTGATGCTTTTCTGGCGGCCTAGCTCCGGGCAGGCATTGTAGTTTGCGAAATGATTGCCATTGCAATTAACACAATGAGCAAATTCATTTGGTGTTTTGCAACCGTCACCAGGGTGATCCTGGCCACACTTAAAGCAGCGCGGTTTCGAGCGGCAGAGTGTGCGGGTATGTCCGAACCGACAACAGTTGTAGCACTGTATTGTTGGATATGAATACAGTTCCACCGGAAGAGATGAATAAAAACAAAACACTTTTTTAGGAAGTACTTGTCCATCGAAGGTGAGGACTACAGTCTGGGTAGGCCTCCATTCTGTTCCGTCTAAAGAAGTAACCTTCCTATTCATCCTCCTTGCCTTAATTACAATCCCACCTCCAGCGGGAACCCTAATATTACAGATAATCTCTTCCTCGGTCCATTCAACAGGGATGTCCCTCACAATGCCCATTCTCGTTATATTAAATTGTGGGATTGAGGTATTGTAGCTTTGCGCAACCACACAATTCACTAAAAAACTGTTAGCGTCCTGATGCGACACAAACTCAACCGACACTCTGTTTCTGCCCAGCCTTTTAACTCCGCCGATTTTTACATTTCTTACGTTGATTTTCGTAAGAAACATACCAAATTTAACGGGATGGAGTGTTGTACCCGATGTCTGGGAGTCCTTCAATGAAACATAAACTATGTATGGTGGGTTATCTGTCTCAGTGTAAACCTGCCTGCCATTTATGCTTTTTGCCAGTTTGGGAGGATTATTTTGGGAGATAGGGGGAGAACCTGCTGGTCTCTTCCTTTTACTCTGGTTTGTATCGGAATCCATGGGTTCAATTTCCGGGTCATCATGAGGGAGCGAAACGGTTAAAATTGGTTTTAGGTCTGGAGATTTATCAGGGGGATCAGGAGGTTTCTCCTCGTCCATGTTAAAAAGTTGAGGGATGTGAGGAGAGGAAATAAGTGGTAAAGTTTTATAATATTACCTTAGACAATACACACACACAATTTAAAAACAATCACCCAATTAAACGACACACAATGTACGGGATTTCAATTCAGATCACTATGAAAAAGATCACTAAAATTGATAACAATCGTCGTACTGAGAAAACACGTGCGTATCCTTCACCACTACCGACGAAAGTCCATAAATACCATAAAATGCATAGGAGCTCATTGTTTGGTAACATTACTTGCACTAATCATTTATTATATATTTAGGTTCTAGAATAACTTCAACTTGTGGTATGATTTGGTCAATGTAAACTGTTAAACCATTTAATACTTAAACAGTAGTAATAAAAAATAAATGTAGACAGAATTGCACTCTAAAACACTAGATCGAAACGACTTTGACGAAATGTCATTTTACGTTGGTGAAATAGCCATTTGTATACATATATTTTGTTAGCGCACTAAAATGAATTGAAAAAAAAACACTTATAAACTCAATTTAATAGTGCTACCATCTTCATTTATACTTTTGTACTTGTTTATAACTTATGGAGATTGATGACATGCATTTAGGTATTTTAAAGATATCCTATGAGATCATCACAGATAACGTCCTGGCCTTATATTATGAGATCATACAAAGGTGTTAAATGTTTATTGTCATTGATGTAATCTTGTCTTATTATTGCCTTGATTTTATTTAATGTTTTAACTGTGAAATGGGAGCAAAAATAATAGAAATTACAATTATTATTAATTTTGATTTGTTATTGAAAATAATGTACTCACTTTAATTAACAAACGAAAAGCTCAATTAGTTTGAAGTCATAATAGAACTGTCTGGGGTTTCACTTGGCTGTGCGACATAGCCGCGACGCGCTCGCCTATCATGAATAAGAGTCCCAATGTGACTTGAAACTAGTTGAGCGTATGTAAGTTAAATCATGTGAGTCTTTATTTTAATTAATTTTGAGTCTATTGATAGTCACTATTCAAAAATAATATTGTTAATATCACAGATATTTTTTTGATAAACTCAAAGTAGTTATATAAGTTTAGGTTCTAAAAAACATAAAAAACCGTTTTTTCTAAACCTTTTTATACAAGATTTTTATTAACTAAAAATCGCGGTTTACTCACGTGTATATCTTTATATTGAGAAAAGCTCTACTAGTTTCGAACCACAGAGGGGTTCTTCCTCATGAGCAGCGTGTCAGGACGCGGCGACGTCGCGACGTCGCGCAGCCTACTCGAAATTTTAAGATTTTTATGTTATTTTTCCTTAAAGCTCACCTTATATCTCTATTTCAGGTAACAATATAAAATCGATAGAACATTTGAATCACAATATGCACTTGGAACACTTAGATTTGTCCAACAATCAAATATCTTTCATAGCTGATATTTCTTACTTGAAGAGTTTGAAGGTGAGTGTGTCAGAATAGCTTTATTCTTTTTATATATTTTTTTAAGAAGGCTTACAGCCTAATACAATAGTAGTTAATAATGAACAGTAATCATATCGCTAATGACAAGCCTCCACAGATAATAATTAATAATAAGTAGTTTAAATTGCGGGCTGTTTCTACCTTTTACTTGATTCAGAGATACAGTTTTAGTACAAAATAAGTCGATATCAAATTTCCGTGCTTATTAAAACAAATGAATGACTTAACATGCAAAATTCCTGAAATGTTACGCGCACGCAACATGGTATTTATGGGGTATTGTACTCAATGTTACTATTTTTCTGCTTAAATTATATAATGTAACTGTTGATTCACCATTTATTAAATAAATAAATAAATAAATGACATTGCTGCACTGTATCAATTTAGCATAAAATGCATATCATGAAAATCTTGGACAATTATAAGTAGGCCAGATTTGGTTTGTATCACACATATGTAATAAGTACCTAAACCGATGAATCCGCAATATCAAGCTCTGCACAGTTACTCAAATATCGTAATTCGTTAAATTTATCTATTTTTTTGTTTCAGCACTTAAATCTAGAAAGAAACAGGATATCTGATCTGCGGCAGTGTGATCGCTACCTTCCATCACATTTGGAACACTTGGGACTTGCTCATAATAGTATTCAGGATTTGAATGAGATTAGTCACTTGGTACACTTGAACAAACTCGAGAGCTTTTCAATACAAGGCAATCCATGTGTCGCCATGGCTGGCAAAGACAAGTTGTATCCTTTTTATTTCATAAAATGTTACTAAAAGTAAGTCTTCAAATTAGCCAAATCTTTGTCCTAATTTAAAGTTTATAAGTACCTTACAACTGCGGCTGGTTTTGAATAAGTAAGAATCTGACACTCCTCTCTTCGCATACAGCTAAAGAGTCGAGGTTGCGGGGCAAAACGCAATAAGGTACCTCGGCCTCGGCCTAGAGCAGGAGAAGGAATGAGGTACTCGAGCCTAACCAAGAGGGGTAATTTGATGATCTTCCGCCGTCAGAAAAAGTAATGTCTAGTAGCTATAGTATAATTTAAGTTAGTCCTTAATACTCTACTAATTGATCCTTAACTAGTAAAACAGAGGTTTCGATTACAGACCGTTTGTCCTCAACTGGATAATGAGTGTGAAGTCTATTGATGGCTTTGTCGTCAGCGCTATAGAGAGGTAATATTTTATTTGTTTTTTTACCAAAAAAAAAAATGTACAATAATGTGTATAATTTTTTATGGAATAAGTCTGCAAACTAGCAGGTGGATGGACTATCCCTGGATACCTTTATCATTGCCACAAATTTACAAAGTTCATATATTTTTATGTGATAGGACGGCAAACGAACAGACGGATTACCTGATGGTAAGCAATCGGCGTCGCCCATGGACACCCGCAACACCAAAGAAGTTAGGAATGCGTTGCCGGCCTTTTGGAGATAAGGGTTACGGATATAAGGATTAGGAAGGGATAGGGAATACAAATAGTTTTCCATAAAACGTAACTGAAACTTTTCGGCCTTGGTTTGATTTGGTTTTTTTAACAAAGTAATTACAAATGCGTAATCTTTCAGTTTGAAAGCGGAGTGGTTGTACAGCCAAGGCAAGGGGCGACACTTCCACGCTGGGCAACACCAAGAGTTGTGCGAGTACCTAGCGTCTACCTGTCCCCTCACAGCCGACGCTTTGGAAACGGAAGACCAGAGAAAACTACGTCTTATATTAAGCAAAGTAAGATTTTAAACTGGGTGAATACAATTCGAAAAATAAAATAGAGAGTAACACTAGAGAAATTGAAATGATATAAATATCAGACATATATTATTTTGTCTTAAAAATAATACATAGATAAAACGAATTTAGGTTTAGAAGTGGGAGGTTTCTGTGTCTTTGTAGGAAATGTTCAAAATTGTGACGCCACACCATTCAAAAGTATTGTTTGCGTTGCTCGAAACTAGTCGAGCTATCCCGCAAAACACTTATAAGCAGCCATTACATTACACAAATGATATGTAAACGTAAACTCACCCACGACACAGGACTAAATTTACTATGTGGGACAACGTTTTTTTAAAGAAATGTAAAGGAAATGGGTATGAAGCTAATTAAAAATATCGTCATGTCGTCTTAAGGGCCAACTGTAACTATTTGTATTGTCTATTTAAAATAACGTAAGCCGAAGTAAGTCGTTATCAATAATATAAAAATGAAACGCAAAATGTGTTGGTAAGCGCATAACTCAAAAACGCCTGGACCAATTTTGCTAATGCTTTTTTTGTTATATTCGATATTATAAGGAGAAGGTTCTTACGAGAGAGTTCTCTTTAGTAAAGTAAAGGGCAATAGCGGTAATTAACATCCCTTTCGACGCCGTGGCCGTTCGCTTGCAAAACAAATGACTGACACCAGGGTAGTCGGGTACCCGTGCGAAACAGGGGCGGTCTGCTAGTATACAATATACTTAGCATGTCTCACTACAGTTTCTAATCATAAACATTTGTAATGTATGCAGGCGCAACATCACCAGCAGCAGTTGAAAGACCAGACGCACAGTCCATTGAAACCAAAATTGCAGTCTCCGAGAATGCAATGTAAGTATTTAATTCGTGCTTACATAATATTAAAGCTTCTGCCAGTAGCTTCGTGTAGTACTTACCAGGGTAGAAAGAATCCTCTTATTCCATCTCTTAATTAAAATAATCTATCTCTGTGCCAAATTTCATTTAGATTTGTTCAGTAGTTTTGTATGAAAGGGTAACAAACGTTTGACGATGAAACGATGTTTCTTTGTAAATATTGGTGATTGAATAGTTATTCAACCATTGATACTTACAAACTTTTGCGTGTATAATAATAGTAAGATTAAGCCAATTTATGTAGCATCTCAGTGTTAGGTAAAGACCTATTCCGTTTATGAATGAGGTTTAACCAAACTTATAAAGTTTATCAGAAAAATATCAAGTTTTTATTCTTTTAGTGATTCGAGTTTGGGTTAAATCCCTAATTTGAGTTTCCCTTCTGGTTGGTTGAAAGGCAAATTGGGGATTTAATCAACCAAGAATCCTTATAATAGGTTCCATACCCTCATAGCTTCCCTTATTATTCTATCGATCGAAATCAGTCATAGCCAATCACAAATTCACCAACAAAACGTGCTAATTCGACAAGACGAAGTTTTAAGTAAATGAATCAACAAAAGAGTACTTAATGAACGTAAAGCTTAAGAATGTTTGGAATTTTAATTGAAATATATGTTTTTATTCGAGTTGATGTATTTGAGAAATGTACGAGCTGTAATTCTGTGAAGCTCTGAGAATTTATATGTATTATAACTAGTTGACGCAAAATTTTGATTCTTAAAAAACCTTACATTTTGCTATAAGTGTTTAGTGGTTTTGCAATGCCTAATAAAGATTACATATATATTTACGATATTTTGTTAACTGTTTAAACAACTTGCAGCTCGGATATCCACGCCGCGACACATGGGTCGATCGCCCGACCGGCTCACTTCAAGTTACCATGCAGCTTTGACCAAGTCCTCGTCTCCCTCACATCAAATGTCTTCCTCACTCTGTGGAGACTTGCCCGGCATTCCCACCGCCATGAGCCAGAGCTTCGACTCGCCCGGCATCATGTACGCAACGGAAAAAAGAGACGGCACTAGAGAAAAGGAAAAAGAAAAAGTTCAAGGTATATTAGCAACACATACAAATTTATATATAGTATATTGATTATATTTAAGGCTAACAAACTATCTTATTCGCAGAAATACCCCAACCAAAGCCAGTAAATCATTCATTAGAAGCTGCATCGAAAATGGTGCCTGTACCTGAATCTCTTATGAGTCCTGACTATCAGGACCCGATTTACGATATCCAAAGATCGATACCAAAGCCCAGTAACAACTCAGTACATAGTGTTTCCAACACCTCCTCGCAGTCGAGCAACAGTAGTATCCACGAGGACAAACCGAGGCATGCGAAGAACATGAAAGGGTCCCCGAAATTACCAAAAAGCGCTACTTCATCGCCCAAACTTAAAACTAGAATGGAGCAAAGAAAAGGTAGTTTATCAAAAATTGAAGTAAAGAATGAGGAAAAGAAACTGAATGGGATTACGAATGAGTCGGAGCAAGTCGGCGCAGACATGATGAAGTTACCCTCGAATCAAAGGCGGCAGAAGAAGATGAGTGTCGAGTCAATGGCCGCCGTTACTATACAGAAGATGTGGAGGGGATACAGAAGCAGAAACCTGAACAAGGACACGCTCAGGATATTGCACGCTATACAAGCGGCGAGGGCTCGACAACATATACAGTTAGTATTTAATTACTATTAGTGCCTAACACAAATCATGATCACATTTTTCGTTTTCTTTTTTATGGTTTTTACCATTATTCAGATAATATAATATTGTATAATAGAAAATTATTATAATTATTACTAATAGTAATAGCATAACAGTTTATACTAGAAATAAGGTTTAAATTATAATATAACAACATGCGAGAATTAAACACGAAAATTTAGGACATGGTTTGTGTTGTGTATCTCCAACTCATACATGGTTTTAATTTTAATTAGTATTAATTGTTTATTTTATAACCCAACCCGCTGCTCAGCTCCTACAGATCATAGCGTGAAGTTTTATAGCTTTAATCTTCCCCGATAAATGACTAACAAACACGAAAAGCATTGTTCAATTTGAACCAGCAGTTCCGGAGATTAGCGCGTTCAAACAAACAAACTTCATTTTTATAATATTAGTATAGATAATGTAAATTTTATTACTAGAAGGTTGACATGCGACATGGAAGCTACGAAAGCCGCGTTGGAGTCTGAGCGAAAAATTCAACAGCTTCAGATGCAAGCTATTAACGCTTTGTGGAAGAAGGTCTCCACCTTACAAGCAGCTGGTGAGTAGCTTAAACTACTATTTAAATACGTAACTAGCGATCGCCCTCGGCTTGGCTTTTCAAGATGTTTTTTTTTTAAATCTTTTTCAAACCTTCTCTGGCCTTCCACGAGACCACAATTTTCCAAATCGGTAAAGGCATTGTTGAGTTATAACATTACAACGAAATGTGGCATTGATTTTTATATAAATTGGGATTTCTCAATATTGTCTTCCAGATAACCAGAAGCAGCGATTATCAGAGTCAGATGACAACACAGACGCATTGCGACAGCTATCCGAGACATGTTTCAGCCTGCAAGCACAGGTATGTATTGTATACAACAATGACCCTTCCCAGGTTAAGTATCTGTATTTGTAATTTATATATTTTTTGTTACCATTGCAGAGCTGCATTTTTTTTCTAACTTACATATCAAATAATTTTGACGATTGTACATATTACTTCAAGGGACTAAGAATTGGATGTCTTTTATCTTGATATGGAAATTATCTTACTAATATTCTAAATACGAAAGTTACAGTGTTTGGATTTTGTTACACAATCACGCCAAAACGGCTGAGCGGACCTAGATAAAATTTGGCACAGGCATAGGATACACTCCGGAATAGTATATAGGCTATTTATCAACATACCACGCGGGCAAGCCGTTTATATAATACATATCTAGTCAGAATTTTAATTCGATCCCAGATTTCACAAAATGACAGAGGTTACTCTGTCATTTTGTGAAATAATGATACCACATATAACAGTGTAGTGATGAACACAAAAATCGATAAACTGTTAGTGAATCAGTTACAGGAAGGCATTATAAAATATTGTGGTATTAATAAATAATTACCACATTTTTTTTGTTAATTTCACACACAATTATAAAAGAAAAGTATCAGGTCGTTAATTTACTGTCAAAACTAAATTATCGAGTCAGAAATATTTAATTTCCTGATAATTTAGTATTTAATTAATAATTTATAAACGAACGAACGACTAATCGATTCGAAAAGAATTCAATTTCCATATCGAATAATTTCGCAACGTCACTATTTAATTCTTGTCATAACGTTGCAACACTGAAATTGTCAAATCAGGAATCTGGATTAAAATTCCAAGTAAAGTAGCTAATATCTTATAGTTTTCAGCCAAGTCCTTCACGTTGTAAATAAAATTGTTACTAGGTGGCAGAACTGCAGGGCTGTATGCAGGAGGTGTTGAAAGCAGTTTCAACAAAAAACCACGCTGAGCCGGTTGGGACCCAGACAGATATAACGGCAGTAATCACTCCGCAGGTGAGTCTATTCTCTTAACTTAATAACTTATTTATGCATAACCTCCTTGCCATAATACATACAGAAAACCGACGTGAAACAATCACAGAGTTGTGTATCGCCTTCTGAGTGAGGTTGCCGGAGGCTCAATCCTTCCCCGATCTCTCAATCCCCAAAAGGTCGCCAAGCACTCGTAACTCTTACTGTTTTTTGGGTGTACATGGACGGAGCTGATTTTATTCTGCTTACCACCAGGTATTCCGTCGTTCGTTTGCCGTCCCATCACTTTAAAAAATTTCCTCTTAATTTTGGACATGATAAAAGTATGCTTTACGTATCCAGGGATAGGTAGCGTATCTTCCAAACTATCGGTGTTTCAATTAATATTAAGAGACCTTTGTCCGCCAGTTCTTAGATGTTTTCCGTCTGATAATAATGTGTTGAGGTATTAATGCTTTTTGTAATTAATATACAGGAAGAACGCTGCACGTGGTTGCGGCGACCGCAGTCTCTGTCGCTGAGCGGTGCCCGCGACCCACCCGTCGTAGTGCCCGTACCGCACAGAGAACACTCGTAAGTCCTATATGCACTCTTACATTACATATAATTACGTAATGTTTTCAATAAGTGTTTGAGAGACACACAAAAACTGGCGTAATAGAACACGTGCGTTGTGTTTTACCGCGAGAGTGAAGTAACTGGAGCCCCTAACTTTCCCCCAACCCCAATTTAAGCAAAACACGAGAATATTCCCTTTTAAAAAAAAAATCGTGCCGAGGCCAACCGACCGGCAGCGCACTTGAACCTCTGGAGTGGCAGCTCTAATCACCTAAGCTCGTCGGTTTACAGTACTCAGAGCTATCTTCAATTGGGTAGGTCAAAAAAATACGTTAATTCGACTTTTCAATACAATAAAATATTGAAAAACAACTATTCTTTTATTCATCGATCGATCGATACATTTTTTTTTTCTAATTTTTAAGAAATAAGTAAGATATTTTATTTTACTATGACGTCAAAACACAGTGTTTTATACAAATTTAAAAAAAAAATAGTTTTTGACATTTGGATAAAAGTATTGAATTTGACTAGTTGGAAACTACCTTATTTTTTCTGTGTCTCCACTCCTTCACTAATGATGATCCTTCATTGATTAGCAAAATGTTCTTTTTGGGCAGTCCATCGAAGACTCGTAATCACATTTAATTTATGACATCTCGTAATGCCAATTTTCCGCTCTACTACCTAATTTATAATTGGACGATTAATAAAGAGACCTCCATACTAGCTCCTTATGGTGAGCAAATTTTTTAACCTTCATTCGACTTATAAATATGTTAATTACTATTGTACAGTAAATATACAGAAATACACAATCTTATTCCGTCTTTTTGTTTAGTAACAGGCTTTATTAAATCCAAACTAATATTATAAATGCGAAAGCAACCCTGTCTGTCTGTCTGTTTTCTTCACGCCTAAACTACTGAACCGATTTGTGTGAAATTTGGTACAGACATAGTTTCGAACTCGAGAAAGAATCTCAAAAATCTGCAGAAGTCAATATTTCGAGCTTTTAGTTCAGTAATTCTATGATGGATTATGATTATTAATCAGTCTACATGTTGCAGAGAAAAATCAAACGAAACGGCCGCTCTCGGCATAGAGCGAACCGAGTCCGTTATAGAAGAGCAGACGGCGGAAACAAACGAAGTGGACGTTGATCCGAGGGAGCGTGACGTCATCGCCGACTGATACAACCAACAAGTATGTATCAAAAATGACTTCTACATTGAAGTTAATAGTTTCCAAATACTATTAAGGCTAGTTCGGGCAATGATACACTCTAAAATTATTTATAATAATCTTTCTATACCGTCAATTTGTATCGACTTGTATAATTTATTCCGCAGTGTCAGTTATTATTTATTAGTACCAATATATTTTTATTAATTAGTTATTTAGAATTACAATTCGTCACTTGTACATGTAACTGAAGTACAGTTGTTTGTTACACTTTTAAAGATCTCGGAGTGAGCCTATAAGTATAGTTAAAAGATAAAGCGTGTTCATTGTGGAAACTACTGACTACTGAGATATTTTGCAGCTCACTAAATAATCGGTTTAAGCAATTGGGTACTTTTCCTTGTCCAACAGTAAGTATTAGTTCTTTTTAATGCAATTATATATTCAAAATTAATCACATTTTGATTAATTAATTTTATTATAATTTTAAATTATATTTTATTAGATTTATCAGCTCGTTAAAAAAGCATATGCTATTTGATGAAAAACAAAAATGGCACATATATAAATATATGTATAAAAGGATATTTGTTGATTTTGACACTAACAATGATTGTGAAGTACCCAATTTCAAAAAAAAGGTAGAAATTAATAACATTATTTTGTGACAATCTGCGCCAGCTTTCTTTTAAAGTTAAACAATAAAAGAGGATTCGTTGGTATTGAAATAATACAAATTAAAACTATTCACATTAGAATTAAGGTGTACACTAAAGCAAAGCTTGGTCTGTAAAGTGGGCTTGTTAGGTAATTAAGAATATATTGTGTAATTCGATTATTAAATTATGGTTCATAAGAAAACGATGAGAGCAAGCAGATCTTTCGAAAATGTTTTATTATTATTACTTTATTATTTATCGTTACTGCCTGTAAACAATTTTGTTGAAAGATATATTTGCTATCAATAAAAATGGGCACAATCGCTGATGTCACGTTGTTAGTGGTATTAACCAAAGAGTTTGAAGAAAAGGAGTGTTTGATATTATAAAAGACAAAACAAAGATTAAAAAGATTTCATACAAAGACATTTAAATTATAAACAATCAAGGGAATTAGACTGCTTGGAAATTAATAATGACAATTTGTTTTTAATTTAGATATAAGTTGAGGCTTAAGTGTTGATGTATGTAATGTGGTCCTGAAACAGCTGTTATTATATATGTTCTAGAACACTAGCAAATATGAGCTGGAGCATCAAGTTAATGTAGGTAATAATTTCCGCAGCTAACATTCAAAATGCCCTCTTCGAGGTTTACTTTTACACACTTTTTATATGTAAATATGTCGCAGCCAATTAGAATAATTAGTCTGTAAACCATTTAGGTAACTGTACAGCCCGTTTCATAAATGAAAAAAAGTCTGGCAGCTGTTTATTTCAGATGTTAATACAATTCCGGTAAGAGTTGAAGTTTTGATCCCAATCCCTTCACATATAAATTTTTTATGGCAAACGAGCAGACGGATTTTCTGATGATGCGTAATAAAGGTATCGGATGTTTAAGGATTAGGAAGGGACGGGGGAAGAGGAGAGATTGGGCCTACGGTAACCTAATACGGCGAAACACAACCCTGTCGTTGTTTCACGCCGGTTTTATGTGAAGCCGTGGTATCACTCCGGTCGAACGAACCTATTCGTGCCGAAGCTTGGCTCTCACACTTGACACACTAGTGTGTCGATCCTGGGTTACAGGAACAACAGCGTTTCCGCGGGGTTAAAGATAACACTTAAATTTACGGAATGAAATATTCAGCTATTCAAACAAACAATTTGCTAGTCATCGAGGCCGATAGTCAAATGGTTAATTTAGTCGTTTGGTTGCGACATATACACAATTACTGCACAATTCCGATTAGATGGGACAGCTAGATTTCTCCAATTTGCTGACAACCTTGCCGATGGTTGATTACTTTTTAAGTGATGTACCTAATGTTATTTACTTTAATATAAATAAGTCACAAAAAATGGGCAGGTAACTTTTTCATATTATTTTTATAGTAACGACGGTTTATTGCACTCTTGTTACGTATCTACTGTCTAATAATGCGTTTTATACATATACATATTGTTTTTGAGAATTATGAGATAATAATTAGATGTGGATTATATAGATGTCAGTAAACCTACAGAATGTTGGTTGAGATATAGTTATCTGTTAAATAATAATAAAATGCATAATATTGTCGTTATTATATTTTAAATTCTGATTAATGGTAATGGGTATATAATATTACATTGAGAGACATACTAAATTCACGTGAATAAACTGAGAAAAGCGCTACTAGTCTCAATTCTATATATCTATGTTGAGTTGGGTTATTGCTGAGAGGTTGCGCGACTTGAAACTAGTAGAGCTTTATTTATTATGTTTGCGGCTTACTCACGTAAATGGTTTTTTTTTCGAGATACTCGACTAGTTTCAAGCCATGTTAGAGGCCCATATTCATGAGCAGCATTCCGAGCGATATGCTACGCGGCGACTGTCGCCCTACTACTATCAGTAGCAGCATAATAAAAATATAGTGGTTTTTCTCAGTTTCATTACGTGAGTAAGTCGTAATTATCAATAATCAAATTAATTAGGTTATACGATTCACAAGCCACGCCAGGAAATAACAATGGACATCCAACAGCGATATCGATGATTTCGAAGTGAGGCCAGAACTAAACTAATTCAGTGTCTAATGCGAGTTTTTTCTTCATTACGGCGATCGACACGTTTATGACGGTCGAAGCTCTGATTGGCTTGCTCCTAGTTAACCCACCAATCAGAGGTCAGTATCTAACCTCGTCGAAAAGTTATAACAGAATACTCGCAAAATTCCTCGGCGGATGTTGACCGAAGTCTGAAGTACTACATTACACACTGGTTGAACTTCCTGACTTCATTCTCGTTCATAAGCCACTTAATGACCTTTGAGTCAGAAGAGAGACGAAGATGTAAGCTGAAGTGCCTCTCTACATTAGTCTATTCGTCCAACCTCGTTCAACTCCTCGAGTAGCGTATAAAAGGCATTTCAAGAGCATACCGTATAACCTAAATCATCTTTTTACTTATTAAAAGTTTTACCGATAAATTGTCCTTATACACTGCGTTTTACATATTGTTTTGAGAAATATTTAGCAGCTTATAGAAGTTTTTATCAGAGTTACATTCTGTGAAGCATTATTCACTAATACGACAGTACTATGTACACCGTTTACATTAACACTATGGATAACAAAGCACTCACAGCACTGCCATTTTGGAAATAAAAGTGAATACACAATTTTTAAGACAACAATTAAACTTGTTGTGTACTCACCGATGTTTCGACTTATTAAGTACACAAATCGGCTGATAGGGCAGTATTAATAAGTGTTAAAAAAGTATATTTCTAGTTGTGTGAAACGTAAATGTTAATATTAATTTATGAAGATAAAAACTATACAAACACGAGGAATTTGGACATTCCTTGAATAATATTGTCTATACATAAGTTAAATACTTAAGACATAATTATAGTATTTATTAAACACGTTTAGAATTTCAACATGTTTTAACGCCTAAGGAGGTTTTTCTGTTATGGCTTAAAAATGGTTAAAATTAAGATAAATGAGAACCGATGCCAAAATAAGTGATCTACTCAGAGTAAAAGCTTTGGCGAAGTACTGCATTAGGAACGATGTAGGTACGTGGTTCGGTAAGTAGGTATATCGCATTGCAAATCAAATACTTGATTGATAGAAACTGTCCGAGACATTTTTATTAAAATGGAATATAATACCTCTAGCTGCATATTTATCTTTGGGTATAATTATTATATTTAAATTGTTATGTTTTAATAAATTGCATCGCACGCGACTATTTTTCTTAATTTACTAAATTGAATGGTTAATAGTAGAAAACTTATTTTGGTATAAATTACTAGAAACCGGAACCCACTTGACGTAAAGGCTAGTTCGCATTATGCTAGTATTTTAGCTTAGTGGTGAGAAAGTTAGAAGCTAAATGTGTCTGAACACTAAGAACTTTGTCGAGTAGTTTAGTACGGAATTAAATCGAGTCAATCCATTTTATTCTATTTTTTTTCGGGCGAGTAGCATCTTCTGCCACGCTTCCGTGTCACCGGCGCACGCGCGAAACGAATCCGATCCTGTCAAATTACCTGTTCATTAGTAGCCGCCTGGCTGCATAATAGTAGCCTATGGTTGCCATGCAAACATAATCCATTTTCGTATCCATAGCTTCTTTTTATTGATTACAAATATTTTCCCATCTACCTCTTCTAAAATAGCCGTTACGATTAACTTAATCAGTTTATTTATTTTATTGCGTTGTAGGCTGTTCATCTTGCAAAACACCTCTCACTTGTAAACTGTACCCGAACATAGTTCGAACGGTTTTTGGGGCAGAAGCGAGTATTTTAGCTACTTCATTTCTCCCAATCAAACTAAAGTACTAGCATAACGCGAACTAGTCTTAAGTAGCCGAGTAGTAGTGAACACAACAAGGAGTAGGCACATTTATTTGACCGTAACAATGATACGTGTTTCATGAACCGACATAACCAACCGGCATTTAGGTACCACTATGTAGTTTTATTACAATTATGTAAATATAATAAAAAAAGTGAAAAATGAGATGCCTTGTACATTGAGCTTTATTGTTTTCTCATATTTTTTAATTCTTTATTTTTATCGTGTTCTAGTTAACGAATCTCTACGCTTCAATATAATTATGTATTTTGGATATAATTTTATCTGTAAAGGTTATGACTATTTTGACTGTGAACTATGGTATGTATTAGATCGACGATTGTGTATGATACACATACGAAATAAAAGTTTTGGTAATATTCTTCGATCCCGATGTGGTCAGATGAAACCGGTTTGAATAGTCATGACTTCGGATTTGTAATAATATACTAAGTACTAGTCATTTTTAACAACGCATTGTAATTTTATTGTGGTTAGTGCAATTAATTTTAGCCTCAGAATACATGACATTTAATGTGTTTAAAAGAAATACATTTCTCTTAATACAAACCATGTTCAGAGAATTGATGTGTGCATGTTTTACTGTTCAAACTTTGTTGGTATTAAATTGATTCACAAATAGTATGCCTTGCCCCGCGTTTACTAAATGAGCAAAAATTCATTTTTTTATAGTATACTTAAAGTCTGTCACATTTCGGTTTGAAAGGACAGCAAAACGTGCTTTTAACTCTAATGTCTGAATAAATTTATAATCCTAATAATATATTAACCGTATAAATAAATGTAAGATAATTTGATGTTAAATCAAATCTCTTGGTGTCTTCACAACTATTACAATCGGATATTGATATTCAATCAACAGACTAAGAATTTACTTACACAAAAGATAAAAGAAGCAGCCTTGTTATATGTTAATCCTAGGCTAACTTTCGTTGGCAAAAATTATAGAGAGCCATTGCCAGGAGAAAAATATATGTTTTTCTTTTCTTGATTGAAAATAAAGAATCTATGGAGTTTAACTTAATGTTTGATTGGAATGATTATGAAGTCATCAATGGATTCCAAAGACACTTGCCGTCCTGTATAATTTCTATTTCATTGTGTTCCCACCTTATTTGTTGTCCATTACGTTATAGCCTGTATTTATTATGGTTTATAAAACAATTTTAAAATACTTGATGGGTTTTTAATTACCTATTTTTATTTAATTTTTTAGGTATCTTTTATCTAGAAGTAACATTATTTATCCTTTGACACAATTGTTCTTTTTCCTCTGTCGCATTTGTTAAAGTCGGTTAAGTAGTGTCTATAATACTTGATTGGAATATTTGTGTGAAAACTTGTGCCGTGTAAAAGCTCTTAATTGCCGTTCTCACAAGCAAAGCAGTTTCACACTAAAAATATACAGATTACTCTGTGACATTTAGTACAGTAAAGTAGATATTTGCGTTAACAAACTGAAGGCAGTCGATGTTTATGTTTATTGTTTTAGAAGTAATGACTTGTTTGACAAAAGAGGTTTTTGACTGATTTTTGTTTTAATTGAATTATTGGAACAAAAGCAGTCATCCTGTTCTGAAGGCAGTCGATTTTCATGTATTGTCTTGGAAGTAATGACTTTTTTGACAAAAGAGGTTTTTGACTGATTTTTGTTTTAATTGAATTATTGAAACAAAAAGAAGTCATCTTGTTCTGAAGGTGTCGATTTTTATGTTTATTGTCTTGGAAGTAATGACTTGTTTGAAAAAAAGAGGTTATTGACTCGTTTTTGTTTGAATCGAATTATTGAAACAAAAGCAGGCATCCTGTTATGAAGGCAGTCGATTTTCATGTATCTTATCTTGGAAGTAATGAGTTATTTGACAAAAAAGGTTATTGATGATTTTTGTTTTAATTGAATTATTGAAACAAAAAGCAGTCATCTTGTTCTGAAGCCAGTCTATTTTTATGTTTCTTGTCTTGGAAGTAATGACTTGTTTGAAAAAAAGATGTTGTTGACTCGTTTTTGTTTGAATTGAATTATTGAAACAAAAGCAGTCATCCTGTTCTGAAGGCAGTCGATTTTCATGTATTTTGTCTTGGAAGTAATGACTTGTTTGACAAAAGAGGTTTTGACTGATTTTTGTTTTAATTGAATTATTGAAACAAAAAGAAGTCATCTTGTTCTGAAGGTAGTCGATTTTTGTTTCTTGTCTTGGAAGTAAGGACTTGTTTGACAAAAGAGGTTTTGACTGATTTTTGTTTTAATTGAATTATTGAAACAAAATATACATAACTACCCTACGATAAATACTTACAAATATGGAAATAAACTTAAGACAGTTATTCAACTAGAATCCTTTATCCTCTCAACTGATATTGGAGATAAGTGGTTTTTGACTAACAAAAACAACCTTGTTGAATTGCGTTCAGCTACATGCAACGAGGGACATATGCAGATTATTGGAAATCGAATTGAAAACTTAAGAAATGATGTTTTTGAAACGCCTATGAAATCTTCATATCTTAATATATTTATGATATGTGAGAACGAAATTACGCAAACT